TATATATATATATATACTAGTATGTTTATTAAAATAGTATAGATAACGTGTTACTATAATAACTCTATCACACCTTGCACCTCTATTTGCCTTTTCCCAAATTACCTCCATCTTTTACATTTGCTTCACACACTTTGGGGCTTAAAATTCAACATGAGAACCAAATGATCCAATCTACATCTAGATATAATTCATTTCTAATATTGTATTTGTACCTTAAGTACCATTTCTACAATGTGATCAATCAAGATTGTTAAATAAGGAAATTTAAAGCTAATCAAATTAAAAAAAAAAACTACTGTGAACTTATTATCTAATTTGAGCATTATAATTTAACAAGAACATTTATTGTATGAAATGGATTTGGACATTATTATGTAATACAAAACAAATATCCCACCATCTCAAACACTCAAACCAAATCATAGAGAAGAGAACATCTCGTATATATGTTACCTCAGAACCCCAATTATATTATAGCAAAAACCAGATTTAATTTGAAGGGTGGATGTGAGAATATCCTTTCTAATTCTAGTTTCTACACATATAATAATCAACGACTATAAGCTATTCAACTTTCTATTTTCCCATTTTTCTCAAATAATCACGCACAAATGACATATATGTAGAGACAAAATAGAATTATTTACTTGGATAGGTCTAGGGGTAGCAGCTGCAAAGACCCTAGGATTCCATGCACGAGCCCTAGCAATTGCTGAACCAGCATGGCCAAACTTTGGGAGGGACGTGACTAAGGTGAAGCTTGCCATTGTCTTCTTTATTGCTTATTTTCTTTTATTCACAATACGATTTTATTGCATTGCATTGTACATCCCTATGTATATGCATATATAGGGCTTTCTTAGCGGTTTGTTCGCGCGCCAAGAGTAATTCACGGCAACTAGTGGTAGAAAAAAGAGAGTTAAAGTGCTATGAATAAAATATTATAAAACTTGATAAATGCAATTCATTATGTATTTAACAACTGTACGTTACAACTAATTTTTTTCTTCATTTTTTTTTTACTTTTCTAATGAAGAAATGGCTGACTTTTTCCCCACTTAATTATGACCTCTTTCACTATATATATGATAATCTCTTATAATATTTTTTTTTTAATTTTGGTTCCTGATACTTAATTTTGTAATTTTAGTTATCCAATTTTATAAATTTGATTTTAGTACTAAATTTTCATTTATTAATTATTAAAAAGATTTAAATATATTTTTAATCACTTGAATTTAAAATAAGTTTGATTTTAATCCCTCAAATTTAAAATTAATCTTTTTAATTTTTATAATTTCAAAAAATCTTATTTTAATTTTTATACTTAAATTTTGTTAAAAAAAATTTTAAATGTTATCACATAAAATTTACTTATGAGTATGTCTATTAGTCAAAATAACGTATTAAACTCAGTTGATACTACATAATTGTCTCAATCTATTATTTTTAAATAAATTATTGATGATTTGAGGAATTAAAACAAAATTTTTAAAAAATTATAAGGACTAAAAATAATAATTTTAAATTTAAAAATCAAAAACAAATTTATCCTTAATTTTATGGACTAAAAACATATTTAAGTTTTATTAAAATTATAATATTAAGAATGATGCGATATTAAAGTAATTGCTATGACAACCAATTTTTAATAACGTTCGTTTTTGCGAACTTGCACTTTTATTCTTCATTATTATCTCATTTTTAGAAAATAAAAATACAATTAAACTTGAATATTATAAATATTAATAGTCATAACATCTACTTAAAATCAAGTCAAACAACATTATAATTTTAAGAATGAATGTTTAATAATAATAAGACTAAAATTATTTTATAAAATTAAAATCAAAATTATAAAAATAAAAATTAAGGATCAAAATCACATATTAAATATTATATAAGAACAAAAATATAATTGAACCTAATTTCACTATATATGAAATAATGGATAAAACTAAAATTTTCATCTTTTATATATATTTAATTTAGGTTTCAAATTGATATTGATCTTTAGCTTTTCTTATTCAATTTAGTCCTTCACATTTTAACTGTAAACATTTTAAGTTTTGAACTAGAATTTCCTCTTTTTTCTTTCCACTTCCTCCCTATTTCATCATAGAACAGCTATTCAAAATTCTCAAACTGACACCGGAAACTTTTGTTGCAAAATGTATTCTCTTCTTTGCTGCCACCTCGTCCCATCGTCTCTTCTTTATTAGTCATTTTAACTGAAACAGTCATTACATATACCAAAGCTCATGATGATTATTTTTTCTCATGAATCATCTTTAGACTAAACTATCATTTTTAAGTCCTTAAAATTTTATGACGCAGTCTTAGTATTTCCTAGATTTACAAAAATGAGAAATAAATACCTGAAATTGAATTGTGAATAGAAAAAACTAATTAAACAATAAAAAAGACAATGCAAGCTTCACCTTATAGTCACATCCCTCCCAAAGTTTGGCCATGCTGGTGCAGCAATTGCTAGGGCTCGTGCATGGAATCCTAGGGTTTTTGCAGTTGTTACTATTAGAAAAGTGTCATTTTTTTGCTAGTTTTTTTATAAAAAAATATTCGCAAAATTTTTTTACGAATTTATTTACAAAAAATAATTTACAGATATTTCTTACAAATTTTGCTATAATTTTAATAATCATAGATTTTTTTTTCATGATAAAAATTTACAAAAAATATTGTAAGAAATTTATTTTGTTTCTTGCAGATTTTCTTGCAAAAATAAATTCGCAAGTAATGTTTACTAAATGGTAGAAAAATTTTGTAGGTATCTTTTCTTGCAGATTTTCCTGCAAATTTTAATCCGCAAGAAAAAAAAATATTTAAATTTATAAGTTTAATATTTTAAAAAATTTAAGGTCCCATATCGATTGAAAATAAAATAATTAAAGAGTATATAAGTTGGGACAACACTTACCTTACAAGTTGATTAGTATGGTTGAGTGTTAGGCTTATAATCTACAATATTAGAATTTAAAAGATTATGTATCACATGTTGGAGGCATGGAAACAAATGCTTTGGATGAATTCATTGTGAGCATTTGAAAGTTGAAGAATTAAGAATTATTTATAAAATTTAGGTTAAATACCTCTTTTAGTCCCTTACAATATTTTTTGTTTCAATTTAGTCCCATTTTAATTTTAGGTCTTAATTTGATCCTCAATAACTTAAATTAGTGCAATTTGGGACTTCCGTCCAAATGATTTACACGGAGTTAACTATTGGCCACGTGACATCTACGTGGATGTCACGTGGATGCGTACGTGGACGCCAAAATTCTCGAAAAAACTTGAAACCAGAATGACCCATTCTGAAACCAGAACGGGCCGTTCTGCTTTTAGAACGGGCCGTTCTGCTTTTAGAACGGGCCGTTCTGAATTCAGAACGGCCCATTCTAGAACGCCATGCTTTTTATTGTATTTTTTTATTATATCTATATTAATAAATATATAATAAATTAATATTCATTTATGAATAAAACTATAAAAAAATCAAATATGATAAGACCTTCCAAAATATTTCTTTGATTTGAACTTATCCAGTTCAAAATCTTGACTAAAATGCCACAATGTGATTCAAAAATTAAAAATAAAAATTCATAATATATCATAAATTCAAAGACAGAAACATGGTTCAGAAACTGAAAACAAAAATTCAGAACATAACATATACTAAAAAAGTTTAAAGAAATTATTAAGAAAGGAAATCATCTAGGTAACGCTGAAGGGAAACTCTAAACCACAAAAATTCAGGTTGTACCTCCTCAAAAACAGGTTGTTATTGTTGGGGTACATCGCCAATGACTTCAAGGAAAAACACTGTTTCGTTTCATCCTTGACTGTATAGTGTCAATTTGGTAGTAAGTGGTTCACTCCAGTTTGACTAACTATAAAATAAAACTTGTTACCATTGTCCTTAGTGATACACTGCATCATCCTTAATGATATATTGTATAGCCCAAATGTTTAGCAATTGAAGTTATTAATCCCCATTAACAATATTACCAAATCTAGTATTTGAAATGCTTTGTATTTTGGTTTTTTTGCACGAAATTCTAGACCAGAACGGCCCGTTCTGGTTTTAGAACGGGCCGTTCTAGTTCCAGGTGTATTCAAGTATTTTGGGATCCACCTACATGACATCCACCTGGCATCCACGTGGCCACCAGTTAACTCCGTTTAAATCATTTAGACGAAAGTCCCAAATTGCAATGATTTAAATTATTGGGGACCAAATTGAAACCTAAAATTAAAGTGGGACTAAATTGAAACAAAAAATATTGTAAGGGACCAAAAGAGGTATTTAACCTAAAATTTATAGTAATTTCTTTAATTTTTTTGTAAAAAATATTCCCACAAAATTTCTTGCGACAAAATTCGCAAGAAACTTTCCTGAGAATTTTTTTGCAAGAAATTTCGCAGGAAGATTTCCTGCGAATTTTAAAATTCGCAAAAATATATTATCCATGAAGGTATTACCTGCGGATAAAATTTTGCAGGAAAATTTGTAGGAACAATATTTCTTGCGCAGAAAAAGTCACATGTAATAAGAGAAATTCTAGTAGTGTGCTACCCCTAGACCTATCCAAGTAAATAATTCAATTGTGTTTACATATATGTCATTTGTGTGTGCTTAATTCTAGAAAAATGGGAAAAGAAAGTTGAATAGCTTATTATATTCATAAATTATTATAAGTGTAGGAAGTAGCATTAGATAGGATATCCACCCTTCAAAGTTTGGTTTGTTATAAGAAAATTCGGGGTTCCGAGGTAACATACAAGATGTAGAATTTTTAATGAATTCTCTTCTCTATGATTTGGTTTGAGTATTTGAGATGGTGGGATATTTCTTTTGTATTACATAATAATGTCCAAATCCATTTCATACAATTTATGTGCATGTTAAATTATTTATGATGTTCAAATTAAATGATAAGTTCACAGTAGTTTGGTCAATTTGATTAGCTTGAAATTTCCTTATCTAACAATTTTGGTTGATCAAATTGTAGAAATAGTTAAGATACAATCTTAGCAATGTATTATTGCTAGATGTAGATTGGATTATTGGTTCTCGTGTTGGATTTAATTCCCAAAGCGTCTAAAACAAATGTTGAAGATGGAGGTAAGTTGGGAAAAGGAAAATATAGGTGCAAGGTGTGAATTTTTTTATCCTGTTGTTTGTGGTGATTTTCGTTTGTAAGTTCTTTTTATTCGAACTAGCACGATTTCAATTTAGGCATGTGTGACGTGATAAGCTCTTACAGTTTTTCATGGGTGAGTCATACATACAACATACGGAGTTGATTAATTAGGGTGCAATTAAACTTTGTTTAGCATAACAGAATATCTATGCTTAACATACAATCAATTTCATGCATGTGAACATTGATATGAACCAAATAAACAACATGTATATTGACTGCAGAAATCATATCCTTCATTCGATGATAACAGAATTATAATGCATAAGGATAATAATGAGTATTCAGAAGACTACACTACACTAAACTATGTTACGCTATGCTAAAAATGAAAAAGAAAGGGTGGTCAAGAAATCGTACTCAACTGTCTCGTACACGTGAGCCTTATGCGCAGGCGAGGAGTGCTTGTGAGGTTTCATGAGTAATGCAATTTCTGACCATTTTCAACGAGCATGGCTCGTCAATTTATAGAGATTTGAGGGATCATAAATAACTGTATCTGGCATGTCACGAATGTGTAACCGTTCTAAACCGCCAAATCGTGGGTCACTTCATGCACGTATTTTAGTAACTTCCAGAACCGCTTATAACCTCTCAAACCGCTTATAACCTCTCAAACCGCTCTACAGTCTAATACTTATCCCTTCGATTTACTCCGACCTCCCTTAATCGTCTCTGCCCTAAGTTCTTCATTTTGAGAGGTTGCGAAGTGTACTCATGAATGTCCGGGTCCCTGAGATTTTGAGTGATTCACGAAAAATATACTCGAGTGTTTCCTGATTCTTTCTGTACTTTGAGACGTTGCGAAGTTGTGGAGCCTTTTCATGAGTGGTAGCTTCAAGGATTTTGAGTGCTTCACGAAAGATGTATTCGAGTATCTCCTGATTTTTCTTGTGCTTCATATGTTTCCAGTTTTAGAACTTCTCTTTTGCTATTTTCTGATCACCTTTAATTTCGAAAGCCTCTGTATTTCGAGCATTTCCAAATTACCTCTTTTGGTGCTAACACCTGTTAAATGCGTTTTGGGTGTGCTTTAATTTTTGGGTCAAAATTTGATTATTTCCAAATATTTGTTATGATCAATAATTCCTCTATCTTAATTTGTAGGAACCTTCGCATCCTGACGGCTCAGCAGCCAATATTGAAGGCACCAAACAGGGAGCTAGTGAAACAATCAATAATAGTTTGAATGAATCAACACAAGACAAGGCTTATAGCACAACAGAACATGTAATATTACAGTGTTATAAAATATTTATTAGGGGTATTCAATTCATAAAATCAATGAAAATCGAATTAATTAAAATCAATGAATACATATCGGAATTTTTTATGCAAATGGAATTTTTTAAAATTTTTTTACCAAAAACGCACCTGTTACACTTTATTTACGTAAATCTAGAACCATTCACTGTTCATACTCAGAATTCGGTTCCCATTCTGAGTTTCAAATTTTTTTTCTTTCGTGATCAGAATTCGGTTCCCAAGGAACCGAATTCTGGGTAGTTTTTAATTTATTTATTTTTGGTTTGTGACCGAGATTGCGCGAATCTTGGAATTGGAACGGTCCATTCTGGAAGTAGAACGGCTCGTTCCAGAACTCAAGTTATGCGTTAAAACTTAACTCTAGAACAGCCCGTTTTGCGGCCTTTCCAGTTTCAAAATTATCAGTCTACGTGTGCAAGCAGAACGGGCCATTTTGCTTCCAGAACGGGCCGTTCCAGTTCCAAGATTCGCACAATCTAGGCCACAAACCAAAAAAAAAAATTAAAAACTACTCAAAATTCGGTTTCCTAGGAACCGAATTCTGATCACAAAAAAAATTGGATCTCAGAATTCGGTTGATGTGTAAATAAAATGTAACAGGTGTGTTTTTTGTAATTTTTTTTCAAAAAAATTCCAGTTGGGTAAAAAATTCTACATATCGAGTCGCCGGTCCGAATAAAACCGGATTCAAAACTCTTAAGCAAAGTCTTATTAAAAAGTTGATGGATACTTTAACTTGTAACATACAAATTTAATTAGAATGTGTTATATTTTTTTTACACTATCATATGATGAAGTATTATTATCATTTATAATAATTATAATCTTTAAAAAGTAAAAGAGAAAGATGAACCGTTGTTGCCCAATACAATCACTATTGTCGTCAATCGTCATTGTCACCACAACCTATCACCACCACTACTGACCATCATCGTCACCTATCACCATTATCCCCATCATGATAATAATAATTTATTATAATAATTAATTTTAAATAGGACATTATAATAAATTTAACATTTTTTCATCCATTATTATTCATCAAATAGTATATAAAACAAAAAAAAGTTATTTAGTAACTTAAGTTGTTTAGTCACAAAAGTAGGTCAAATACTCAAACTTTATAGTGATACACATAACTCTTTCTTTTCTTTCACTATGGTGTTGTTTTAGAATTTCACCATGGCTGACCAAGGCTTGTTATGATGTGTCTCACTCTCAATTATTTCTCTTCATATGATAAAGTGATCTAACTCTAAACAATCAAATGTTTTACAATTTAAAAATTTTACAATATTTATTTCACTTATTTGACCTATAGAGGATGAAGTAAAAGTTATAAACTTACATCTCTGCATCTATGGCTACTAGTTAGTGTGTCATATACATGCAAAAGATATATCATATGAGAATAACTTTCTTAAGTGATAAAAAAAATGTTCAAACTCAATCCTTAGATTAAAATAGACAATTTAAATTCAAAGATTATAAATAAAATTATCATATACTACCATTGTCATGGTTATCATTGTCATGATTATCTCTATCATTATTCACATCACCATTGTCATTGCATACTAACACCACCACCACCATTGTCACCTCACCACCACCACCACCATCATCACGATGAGCATATATAATATATAATAGTGAGGGCAACAACAATGGAGTCACCAAGGACTTCAAAAAAGCATTGTTAGGGTCAGAAAGTGTTTGAGGTTTGTTTAAGACTCTCCACTAACATTGGAAATGGGGCAAGGAAGCACAACAACAATGAAGAAAGGATAGATTTGCATAGAATTCACATGGGAGACAAAATATATAAATGGGCAATATGAAAGTGAGGCTTGCATTTCAAAGTTTAAAAGAACATTTTACATTGGTTCAATTGTTAACTAATGTAAAATGTCCCTTTTTATGTTGATTAAAATTTCATCAGTTTAGAAATACATTTATATCAATTAAAATTTGAACAAATGTAAAATATTATTTCTACAACAACTAAGAAGGAATTGATGTAAAAAAAAAAGTTCTCTTAAATTTTAAAAATATTACTACTTCTTTTTTTACATCGGTTATTTAACAACTTTTTAGTGCATGTTTGGATTAGATTTTCAAACGTGATTCTACACTCTCTCTCCACGTTGAATATGAATTTTACGTGGAAGTAAAAAAATTTTGCTTCAACTAAACGTGAAAATTCACGTTAGAATTGGAACTCAAACATGCACTTAGTGTAGGAAGTCCAACATAGTATAATCTTTTTTTTTTTTTGTACTAGTGCATACTAATAAACTTTTTAGATGTTAAACCAAATATTATTAAATATAATTAATTAATTAATTTTCATTTTATGATTAAAAAGTAGCTTAAAAATCATGTAAACTTTTTTGAAAACAAATACCATTAATATATTTTACTGAATAAACATTAATTTTCCAGTGAGAGAGAATAATAGAAAGAAACAGTTAACTATTTATTGATAGTTGAAACGATTTTTTTTGTTTCAAATGAATGGCACATGGGAAGAGGCATGTCTTCTCCACATTTAATTTGATGCCATGAATACCGAAATGAAATTAAGAAAATTAAAAAAGAAAAAACTGAGAAAAAAACAATGGCCAAAGGTACGTAAACAAGAAAGATGATTGTAGTGACAAAAATGATGAAGTGGTGCTTAAATCAGTTCTTTGTGTTCATGTTCTTCTTCACTTTCTCTGCATTGTCTTTGACATATTCAGCTGACTCTTTAGTCTTTCCCACCACAGTGTCTGCAGCACTGTTGGCTGTGCTCTTGGTGGAATCCCATGCACCTTGCATCGTCTGCTTTGCTTTTTCAGTTAGGTTTTGTGCCCCCGCTGACGCCTGACTTGCCACGTCCTTTGTCTTGTTAGTCACCTGTTTTAACATTAAGATTATAATTATTATAAAAATAATAATATTTAATCATGATACTGTAAAAAAAATGGTACATTCCGATTAAATTTGTATGTTACATATGCTAATTAAAGTATCATCAACCTTTTAATGTAAGACTTTGCTTAAGAGTTATGAATCAATTTTCATTCAGAATAACGACTTGTTATGTATTCATTAACTTTATGAGTTGGCTATCCCATTAAATATTTTCTAACACTAGAAATATTACATGTTCTGCTGTGCTATAAGCCTTGTCTTGTATTGATTCGTTCAAACTATTATTGACTGTTTCACTAGCTCCTTGTTTGGTGCCTTCAACGGTTGCTGAACCATCAGGATGTGGGGGTACCTACAAATTAAGACAGTAGAATTATTCATGACAAAAGATTTGTAAAGAATATATCATAAAACAATTGACCCAAATACTAGAACATCCGAAGCATGTTAATTAAGAGGATAAGAACAAATGTAGGTCTTAGGCAAAACCCACTCAATGCTACTACATTTTTCCATTTTCCTCAAGTTAATCAAACACACATAAATCACATATATGTAAACAGAAAATAGAATTATTTACTTGGATAGGTCTAGGGGTAGCAGCTGCAAAGACCCTAGGATTCCAAGCACGAGCCCTAGCAATTGCTGCACCAACATGGCCAAACTTTGGGAGGGATGTGACTAAGGTGAAGCTTGCCATTGTCTTCTTTATTGCTTATTTTCTTTTATTCACAATTAGGGAATTTTATTGCATTGCACTACAAATCACTATGTTTATGTGTATATATATATTGCTTTATCAGCGATTTGTTCGCGCTCCAAGAGTAATTCACGCTTACTAGTGGTAGAAAAAAAAAGCTAGAGTGCTCAATTCAACGATCTAAAAGACCCGGTATTAAAGGAGGGCTAATAATTAGCTACCTGTAAAGAACATATACCATAAAAGAAAAAAAATTATTTTCTCGAAATAAACAAGTGTGTATATTTTTGTATAGTGTGAGAGCTAGTATGGTCAGACGAGCAAATCTAAAGGAAATATTGTGTGATAACAAACATTATTCATATCCTTTCTGCATCTAGGAGGACGAAATTGTAAACCACTTAATGTTTTCATGTCTCTTCTCTTCATCTGCGTTGAGAAAGTGTTACCAGTGGCTTGGAGTTCAAGTGGTAATGCCTATTAACAACATGAGTCACTTCTTACAACCTAGTTATGGTCTAAATGGAGAAAAATAATTAAAAAAATGTTTGCTGGGCAGCATAGTTTGCAGCAGTCTTAACTACATGGTTGTAAATCATATTATCTTTAAAGACGAGCTTGTAAATGGAAAACATGTTGTTGGACCTTATAAAACTCAGATCTTAGTTATGGTTAAATATAAAAGTGAGACGAAAAAAGTTAATTATTTGTACGAATGGTCAGTAAATTTTATGATTTATGAAAGGTTTGTAATATCTGAACTTGAATGAGTTAGGGTATCCTTATAACTCGTCTAATATATGATAGTTTGTTTGCTGATAAAAAAATAATAGTCAATATAGTATAACATGTTAATTTAAAGGTAGTATTAGTTTTGTATTGTCTCAACAATTTTGTTTTAACCAATGGACATGTTATATATATTTTTTGTAAGTCCAAAATCAGAAGTGTTATTTGGGTTTTTAAAAAAAACCAATTAATATAAAATATCTAGTGTTAATTATTTTTTACAAAAACAATACTCTTAGTTAAAGATTTTTTTTAATTTAATAAGTAGTTAGAGTAAAGATCTCATTAATGTTAAAAATAGTTTTGAAATATATATATATATATATTATATATATAATTTGGACAAATTTAATAATTTTAACTAAATTAACTAAGGAGTGTTTTTTAATCGCCACCATGACAACTTAACATTTATAAAATAATTGATTTTAACATAGGGGTGATTTTTAATCTCCACTATAATAATTTTAGTTTATTAAATTTTATAAAAAAAATATAATAATAAATTACAATTAATAAATTTTACTTATTCAATATTCTTAAATTGTAATAATTTTATTTTATTAAGTTTTAAAAATTATAATAAAAATAAATAATTTTTTAATACTTTTAAATTATATAATATCTTTGTTTTACTGATATTATATAATACTTTTACTAATTTTAAAATATTATAAAAATATTGTCCAGCACACTTATCAGTTATAAAAGACCCTTATTTTTTTGTCTTAGTAGTAATAAAATTCACAGGTGTTCAATAAAATTTCCATGTATTAATTAATCTATATATGGGTTAAAAATATGGCATGTGTATAACCAACATTTTGTGTTTGATGGAACCTATTACCCGCACCGCATATATTTGCGGGTAAAATTCGTTACGAATAATAAATGGATAGGCTAATTGGGTACTCGCGAATAATAGGGACGAATAATTTTTTACCCGTTTATAAACGGGGCGGGGGCGGGTATGATGATATTCATACCCACGGGTACCCGTTTAATAATATTTCTTAAATATCTTAATTATCCTTGTACCACATAACCCTAAAACTACACTCTCTCATCTTATTTTCTTACAAAAGTGAGGTTGATGAAGTTACTAACATGTGTTAAACATGTTATAGAATTATGTTGGATGTAATTTGATTAATTTTCTAACTTTGATTGAATCAATAAGATTTATGTATTTTAAGTTGTTTCCTTTTGTTTGGAATTATGAAATTGAATTATTGTAACTTTGTGATGAGACTCTAACTTACTTGTGAGATTGATATATTTTAAGTTATTGATTATCTTGAATTTTTATTGTTATTTCAACAAAATTAACGTTAAATACAAGTTTAAAATTAACACTGAATTTTTATTTTTAATATTTTAATGATATTAAATATAAACTTAAAATTATTTATAATATAATTTTTTTAATTTCTTAAAAAATTTATAAATATCTATGAATATCCGGCAGTATTTAAGAAATTCATGGATATTCACTTAATAGATACCTGCGCGGATATGAAATGAGTATGGGACCAATTTTTATTTAGCAGAGCAAGACAAATTTACTATTACCTGCTCTCATAGGCTCCATTGTCATCCCTAGGTTTGAGGTTTAGATAAGATATATGATAGAATACATGAATGTTTGATAGAATTTACGGGTAACTTCATGTGATAAGATTGGGTTTTACATCAGATATATTTAATAGAATTTATATCAACTAGAAGCCATATTCTGTAGCTGATATTTGATATCAAATCATGATTGTTAATATTTAATAATTTAATTTGTATAGATCATAAGCACTATGTTTTTATTGTTTCAGCCTGCCTTTGCAAATTTGAGTGGCGCTTTATCTTTTGTATACTCAAGTTAAATTTGCATTTGTATTTTTATTTTAAAAAAAGTTTAAATTATGATAATGTATAATTCATTCAAATTAGAACCAATTAATCTCTATAAGAATTTTTTATAAAATTATTAATCATCTATCACATTCTTAACACAAACTTGTACGAAAAGATATAAAATACAAGGAAAAAATTATATTCCATTCTAGATCTTAACCAATATAAGATAAAGAACTTAACTAGCTGGATTATAACAATTTGCATTTGTATCTGGATTAGCAATAACCATTTTAATGATACCAGCTAGAAATGTCTCTCTAGCAAAATCTTTAGTTATACAGAAAACCACACTTTATATATTTCAATTCATTCCATGTTTAATTTGTTTTTCACCTACTCGAGTTGATTAAGAATGTGAGCTGGAATGAATTCAGAGAGAAGTTAAAGCTGTATCTATAGCTGATTTTCTTTTGAGAAATTCTATGGTACCCATCTTATTTGAAAAGGTACCGGTACAATTTTTTATATTTTATATTTTTAATAATTTATTTAAATAATATTTATGATATTTTATTCTTTCAATTTTTAAATTATTTAGTCATTTTATTTTTATTTTATATATTCTAATTTATTTGTAATAATATTATTATATATTTAAATAGTTTAATTTTAATAATTTTTTAAGTATATTTTTATCTTTTCACTTAAAATTTTTGAATTTCTATATTTTAATTTTAATAACTTTTTAAGTATATTTTTTGTCTTTTTGTCTTAAATTTTTGAATTTCTATATTATAATTTTAATAACTTTTTATTTCTACTATTTATTAATTTTTTTCTTTTTCTTTAATATTTTATAATATTATTGAAAACTTATAATTTTAATTTCTATAATTTTATTTTACTTTTTATTTTATAAGTATAATTTAGATTATTTATTTTATAATTAAATTAATTTTTTT